AGCTCAACCTCTGGCCCCGTGTCTCCTTGCCGGAGACCTCGCCCACACTGCTGTGGACGGGGAAGGTTGGCGATGCGTCGCGTTTCCGGGTCTGGGGTTCTCGTGCCTTTGTCCGCGATACCACCGCGGACAAGCTCTCCGCCCGCGCTGTTCCCTGTGTCTTCCTTGGCTTTGTCCCTGACGCGCCTGGTTGGCAGTTCTACCACCCCACCTCGCGTCTTTCCTCTCCTCCGCAGCGTGTTCCCCTACCTTCCCCTCCTGCGTCTTCTCTACCTACCGTCCCTGAGCCTGAGTCTGACCGCACCCGTGCTGCTCACTCTGCTGTCACGCGTCTGCTAGCCACTGTTGTCACTGACCCGTCGTTTGAGTCTGCTGCTGCGTCTGCCTTGGTAGCTGAGCTAGTTGACTTTGCTGCTGCCTGTCGTCTAGACTACGCCGCTAGTCTTGTTGCTGAGTCTAAGTCTGTCTGTCCTCCGTCCGTCGGGGGTGAGTGTGCTCTTGGCACGGACGTCCTTGAGGACAGGCAGGAGGAGTTTGAGTGCTTTGCCGCTGCTGTACCTCATCTCGTGTCCATGATGCTTGCCCCTGAGGGAGACCCGGATGCTCCAGACATCCCGACCCCGCGCTCTTACGCTGAGGCGATCGCGGGTGAGTACTCCTCTCAGTGGCAGACAGCCATGGATGCAGAGATGGCATCCTGGAAGTCCACAGGCACCTACGTCGACGAGGTTCCCCCTCCCGGGGCGAACATCGTCAGTGGCATGTGGATTTTCAGGGTGAAGCGGCCGCCAGGTTCTCCGCCTGTCTTCAAGGCTCGTTACGTTGCTCGAGGCTTCAGTCAACGAGAGGGAGTAGACTTCTTCCAGACCTTCTCCCTTACCCCGAAGATGACCACTCTTCGGGTGCTGCTGCACGTTGCCGCTCAGCGTGACTACGAGCTTCACTCTCTTGACTTCAGCACAGCTTTCTTGCAGGGCAGTCTGCACGAGGAGATCTGGCTGCGCCGCCCTCCTGGCTTCACTGGGTCGTTTCCTCCTGGTACCCAGTGGAGCCTCCGACGGCCAGTCTACGGTCTCCGCCAGGCGCCACGTGAGTGGCACGACACACTGAGGACTACACTTGCGGCTCTTGGGTTCGCGCCCTCTACTGCTGACCCGTCGCTGTTTCTGCGCACCGACACTTCACGGCCGCCGTTCTACATCCTCGTGTACGTCGACGACTTGGTCTTTGCCACTGCTGACACTGAGGCTCTCGCCCACGTGAAGTCGGAGCTGCAGAAGAGACACACGTGCACAGACCTGGGTGAGCTGACAAGCTATCTTGGCTTGCGGATCACCCGGGACAGAGCACGCCGCACCATCACACTGACTCAGTCACACATGGTGCAGCAGGTCCTTCAGCGCTTCGGCTTCACCTGGTCCTCGGCACAGGCCACTCCTCTGGCTACAGGTCACTCGCTCTCAGCTCCACCTTCGGACGAGTCCGTAGAGCCGAGTGGTCCTTACCCATAGCTAGTTGGCTGCCTCATGTACCTGATGACTTGCACTCGTCCTGACCTCGCGTACCCTCTTGGTCTGCTGGCTCGCAACGTGGCTCCTGGTCGGCACCGACCTGAGCACATGGCTGCCGCTAAGAGGGTACTGCGCTACTTGTGCAGCACATCAGGCATGGGGCTAGTGCTTGGAGGGAAGAGCCCAGTTGTCCTCACTGGGCACTCAGACGCTTCTTGGGTTGACGACCAGGCTACTCAGCGGTCATCACAGGGTTACACCTTCAGCCTTGGCTCTGGTTCAGTTTCTTGGCGTTCTACACGCTCGTCTTCAGTTCTCAGCTCCAGTTGTGAGGCTGAGATCTACGCCACATCCATGGCTGCACAGGAGTTACGCTGGCTCACCTACCTGCTGACCGACTTGGGAGAGCAGCCTCATTCTCCTCCAGTGCTGTACGTCGACAACAAGGCTGCCATTGCCTTGTGTGAGGAGCACAGACTGGAGCACAGAACGAAGCACATCGCTCTGCGTTACTTCCTGGCTCGAGAGTTGCAGCAGCGTGGTCAGCTTCGCCTGCGTTACATGGCCACTCGGGCCAACACTGCTGATATATTCACCAAGGCACTTTCGCCTGGTGATCATCAGCGCTTTTTTACCTTGCTTGGCTTTGTGCCCACGTTTCCTCACTTGCTGTAGACTCTGCTTGTACTGTGATCTATATATCTATACCTACTTGCTTGCTCTGTTAGGTAGAGATCAATGTACTGCTGTTGTTGCATATATATCTCTGCATGTGAACTAGCCTTGTGGCCCTTTGCTTGTGCTCAGAGTGTGTGGTGACGTTGTGATCCACCCTGAGCTTGCCTTGCCTCTCTTGACTGGTCTTGTGACCCCTTGCTCTCCCCCACTTTGCCTATGGGGGTGTGTCAGATTATGTATGCTATACATGCTTAGGCTGTAGTGGGGTACAACCCCTTCTAGGGTTTGATATTTGTACCCAACTCTTCCATAGTTCATTCATTCCTGCCTATGCTTCTAACACGAAGGTCAAAGGTCAAACAACACAGTGCGACAGCAAGGACAAACAACTGACCCGATACAGAGCGGTTGCCCGAGTCGTAACTGTATCGAACCGCAACAGCAACAGTAAAACAGATATTAGCTGTATCTCTTCATATTCCTTATACTCTTATAAAACCTTGTATCTCCTTGTTTTAATCAATCTGTCTTGCCCTCACATACTAGCGCAAGGTGGTTCAACACTTATCATTGTGACGCTTCCGCAACTACAACATTCCTACTCTGAGTTTAGCCTTGCAAAAGATCCTAAGGGCCTTTTCTCAGCCCAACAGGGGGCTTATATTATTTCATGGCAATAGCTACCAACCAAGCATAGTTATAGCTTGTTATTTTGAAACTCAGTCGCAAATTGATGGTTACGCACATATAGTGGGACGAAGTCATCTCATATTACAATAAAACATTAACGCTTGATTGAGTGCATAAATGTGGGTAGATGTGTGCAGCAGCGGAAGGAAGCAAGGGAACTCTGACAATTTTAGAGTCTGTTATGACAGACCTGCAAATGTCAAGTTAAGACCATAATAAAATATAGCTAAAAAGAAACACAAACGGTGGAGCTCACAAACGGTGGAGACTAGGATAGAAAAGAGACAGCACAAACGGAGTCTGGGTGGGACTTGCAGGTTGCAGCGAAGGCCTATGGCTTCTCCTCATCACAGAATCTTCTGGGAGATACGTTGTGCAGGCTCGAGATGACCGAGATACACCGAGTTACCCTCGAAAAACTTGTTGACCATGGACGTTGCAAAAGTCGCTGTTTCTTGGTCATCGGCCTCACAATTTTCGATGTAACCTGCAACTAGCCAAGGTATTAGTGCGTGCTGGTGGATAGAAGTATCCAAGTGCATCCTCGCAATTTGAATGGCACTAAAAGAAGTACTATATGCTTGGCTGACCTGACCGGACCTTTTCCATCCTTACCTGACATTGGCGGGAAAATCCAGATGCGGAACCAGCGTACAACCAAACCGACCGACGACAAACTGAGACTTGCAGCACGACATCGGGCAAACCAGACAGGGAGGGGACGGACGGGGCAGAAATGTCCAACCTCCCCATGATCTCAGCCGTTCCTCGCTTCCACCTCCCTCAAAACCCCACAGCACAACCCAGCCCAATCTGTTCGGTCAGCCCTAGATCATGCCGCGCAGCCCAGAAAACGTGGCCGCGACGAGCTCTCGGAGTTCAGGAGGACTCGAAGGGTACCTGCAAAGGCACTCACGGCGAGTCACACTTTTTGGTTCCTGGTTCGTTTAACGTGGTTGAATTCGGTGATTCACCTTTTAGCGCGGTTTCTACCTGCTTTACCACTGCACCGAACCCAGAACAAAAATGTATGGCCCACCGTGATGACACTCCCGAGAGAATCCTCCACCACGAGCCAGGTAGTCGGGAGGACTCTGGAATACACGTCTGTGTGACGCTGCTGACTTCAGAGGCTCCATACTCGAGTCGTTTTATTCCAGGCGGACAGCAAAGCAGCAGTTGAAAAGATTGGAACCGAGCTAACAGAGCACCCGCACGAGGCACTGTGCGAGAGACCGACAGCGAACGCAATTAGGACCAAGGAGGATGAAATTTCGGTTCTTTCGCAATGCAAGCAATGCAGCAGCGTGTGGTTCAACGTACAGGTGACTGTACAGCACTGATGCCGTACCACAGTATTCGGTTACTCTTTTAAAATACAGTCAGTGGTTGGCGACGGTTCATCGCGAGCTAATAGTCTATGCTTGCGAGCGAATTACTATTGTCCATCCAGCAAGATAACGGCAGACAGTGTTATCGTAGCATCGTCGACGTAGTCAAGGCCACTGACGACGTCACTTCGTTACGCCGTTGACCTCCACTTGTTCAATAGTAGTACACTGTTCGAAAATTGGCGATACAACTGTCACCTGGACTTAGTCACTGGCACTGCCTGTCCTCTGTTGGCCGTCTCCCGTGACGCCTACTAACCACGCGCCGCGTAGCACCGTCAATTATAATGTTCTAGTAACTTATACCCGAATTCCGGTCTTTACCGTCATCAATCTCGCCTGAATTACTTTATGCACGCTCAATTTCGCGGAAAACTGCGTTTTGCGTGCGACAATGAGTGTGCGACACTGAGTGTGCGGCAACGAGGTTGTGCGACAATGCAACACATCTCCATGGGGTGTTAGAAAAGGTGGTAGGGGCCTGACGAAGCAGCGACGTCGGATTTCAGGGAGAACACTCCTAGAAGGAGGTGCGAGCGAAGCTGCAGCAGCCGATTGATTCGCCTCTCGACTGAGACGATTTTAAGAAATCAGAAAGAAGAGCCACCACAATTATCTTGCATGCTAGAAAGGGGGAAACACAGTTGAGGCGTCTCAAGACTACTCTCGGAGGAGGAGGAGCAACAGTAACAAATTGGTTACTTTTTTCCTTGAAAGATTGGACGCTAGAATGGCGGAAGTAGTAACGGCTGTGATTCGGAGTCGCGGAGGCACCGGAGGGAGCAACCGCGTCACGGACGGTGATCTTGAGAGTTTCCTCTTCGGCGAGGATGGTGACACGTCAGACATCGGCAATCGTAGCCGTCGATCCAGCCTCAGCTTCGAGCCGCTCTCGGCGCACGAAGAAGACGACGGCGCTCCCGGCGGAGCGCGCGCCTTCAATCTCGGCGGAGGACAGGGCGGTGGCCACGGGAGGGGACAGGGGGGGGCACAGGGCGGGGGACAGGGCGGGGGACACGGCGGGGGACAGGGCGGGGGACAAGGCGGGGGACACGGCGACAGGAGGCGGATGAGCGTGGAGGAGAAAAACGCCTTGTGGCGGGAAACTGTCCGCGCGCGCGTGTCGTTCAAGCGCGGAGGGGGAGGGTCGCGGGGGGAGCCGGAGGTGCAGGAGCCGCTGGTTCCGCGGAGCGGGGAGCTGGTTCCGCGGAGCGGGGAACTGGTTCCGCGGAGCCGGGAGCTGGTGACTCGGCCGCGGCCGCTAACGCCGCCGTTAGGCACGGAGAGGGGGACGGAGAGGGGGACGGAGAGGGGGACGGAGCGGAGCGGCGTCTCAGGATACGAGACGACTCATAGGAGCAGCATTTCCGGCACGGGAAGGGGAACGGAAAGGGGAACGGAAAGGGGAACGGAAAGGGGAACGGAGAGGGGAACGGAGAGAAGCCCAACGGCTAGCGGAACAGAGCGGGGAGGAAAAGGGGGTTCTAATAAGGAGCGAGACGCCGCGGTGGTTGCAGCTGCGGCGAAGGTTCTGTCGGTGTCTGCTGCTGCGGCGATCTGGGGGGGAAGTCAGAAGGAGGGGAGCACTGTGGGCACGGGGAGCAAAGTGGGGCCCGACTCAGGAAATGTGTCGAAAAGGTGAGAAGAACACGCTGTGGGTGGGTGAGGAAAGGTTAGAATTTAAGTTGATTGCGCTTTTGTACCGGGAAGGGGGGATTGGTGGGTCAGAGTCAAGAAAATTGAGATTGGTTCAAAATGGTGGAGAGTAGGGAAGAGAGAGGCGAAATCAGGGCCAGACGAGTGGCAGGAGGGAAGCGACGAGTGGGGACAGGGAGCAGAGTGGGGTGAGACAGCCTGTCCAGTAGCAAAGAGACAGACACACGACAGCCTTGTGGGGAAGATGAGTTGTAGAGTGACATCATTTTCTTTCTTTGAGAAATTTATTTTTTAGGTTCACCGCCTATCCCTTCCGAACCTCCCGTCCAGGACCGGCCATAAACGGTCGTCCGCCTCACCTCAGCTTCGGCCACGCCAAACCAAGGCATAGCTGCGGAGTATGATCCGTCGCAGGAATTCCCGATGGGCAAGCAAGCACACGCACTCCCCCCTCCCACGGGCTACGATCCGTCACAGGAGGTGCCTATGGGCAAGCACACGCACATTCTCCTCTCCCCACTCCCCCCTCCACACACTCACCCCACCAGGTCTGGCCATGCCTCAACCACGGCACCCACCAAAGGCGCACCCCCCCCTCCCACGGACTACGACCCGTCTCAGGAGGTCCCTATGGGCAAGCACACGCACATCCTCCTCCCAGACGGCACCTTCAAGGTCCCCACCGCGGATGACCATGACACCACCACACACCCACCACTAGCTGAGCTAGCCCTCCCCATTTCCCCCCCTCCCTGACCTCCAGGTCCGGCCATCCCTCGACCGCAACACCCACACCGGTGAAAGGCGGCGCACCCCCCCCTCCCACGGATTACGATCCGTCTCAGGAGGTGCCTATGGGCAAGCACACGCACATCCTCCTCCCAGACGGCACCTTCAAGGTCCCCACCGCGGATGACCATGACGCTACTACTGCCACGGGCCAGCACACCACCACGGGGAGGAGCAGTGGTGGCGGGGGAGGGAGCAACCGGCCGGTGAGGCAGGCTGCTGTTCATTGGGAGGATTGGGCGAGTGACGAGGAGGAGGACGAGGAGCAGATTGATGCTGTGATGCTGGAAGGTGCGTGGTGAGGGGGGCAAAAGGGAAGCGAGAGTGAAAGCAAGTCGTTGATGATGAATAGCGACACGTTTCCCCTCTCCCTCTCCCCTCCTCCCCTGCCCTTCAAGGTCAAGGCGGCAGACAAGCGACTAGACGACTATAAGAATCTGGTGTCGTTCCTTCCTCTGCTTCCTCGTGCTCTACCTGCGAGCTTACTGACTCTTCCTTCCCTCTCCCCTCCTCCCTGCGTGCGTTTCAGACATCTACTTCAATTCAAGGCGAAGGCGGCAGATAAGCGCCTGGACGATTATAAGAATCTGGTGTCGTTCCTCTGCTTCAACCCTCCCCTGCCCCCCACCAGACATCTACTTCAAGGTCAAGGCGGCGGATAAGCGGCTAGACGATTACAAGAACCTGGTGTCGTTCCTTCCTCTGCTTCCTCGTGCTCTACCGCGTGGTGCTGTAACTAGATGCAAGTAGACTCGCAGACTCCCCTTCCCCCTTCCTCCGCTGCCTGTCCCCCTCACCTCAGACATCTACTTCAAGGTCAAGGCGGCGGATAAGCGCCTGGACGATTATAAGAATCTGGTGTCGTTCCTTCCTCTGCTTCCTCGTGCTCTACCTCGTGGTGCTCTACATGCAAGCAATCAATCTCCCCTCCCCTCTCCCTTCCCTCACCCCTGCTACCCTGCTCTCCCGTAACCCCAGACATTTACTTCAAGGTCAAAGCAGCGGATAAGCGGCTAGACGATTACAAGAATCTGGTGTCGTTCCTCTGCTTCATCGTGCTCTACCTCGTGGTGCTCTACATGCAAGCCGACTCCACGGACGGGTTTGAGGTCTCCACAGCACACAACATTCTGCTTCCTTCGGTGAGCGCAAGACTGCTTGGCTGTCAGTGTTTGTCAAGTTTGGATGTAGTGGGACAAGATAAGAGGCGGTGGTGCTCTACATGCAAGCAGACTCCACGGATGGCTTTGAAGTGTCCACAGCACACAACATTCTGCTCCCCTCGGTACGCACCACAGGGTCTACATGTTGGCGCTGTAAATGCTGCTACCGTACCTGGTGGCGCTGTCTGTACATGCAAGCCGACTCCACGGATGGCTTTGAACTTTGAAGTCTCCACAGCGCACAACATGCTGCTGCCCTCGGTACGCGAAAGGCTGCTTGGCTGGCTGGTTGGTGCTGTGACAAACAACTAACGGCTAGTACTCTACCTCGTGGTGCTGTACATGCAATGCAAGCAGACTCCACGGATGGCTTTGAACTTTGAAGTCTCCACAGCGCACAACATTCTGCTGCCCTCGGTACGCGAAAGGCTGCTTGGCTGGCTGGTTGGTGCTGTGACAAACAACTAACGGCTAGTACTCTACCTCGTGGTGCTGTACATGCAATGCAAGCAGACTCCACGGATGGCTTTGAACTTTGAAGTGTCCACAGCGCACAACATACTGCTGCCTTCGGTGAGCACCACAGGGTGTTGGTATTGTGACGGTTGGGCATCAGGCAGTGAGTGAGCTGAACGCCATGAGTGGACCGGGCGAAATGCACACACGATCCCCTTGTCCTTGCTGCACTGCTTTACTCCGACCAGCAATCCCCCCCACCCCCTCCCCCCTTCTCTTTTCTCCCCTCCGTCCACCCAGGGGGCATCAGGCAATGAGCTGAACGCCATATGTGGACCGGGCGAAGTGCACACACGATCCCCTCGTGCACCGACAAACAAACCTTCCCCCCACTTCCCCCCCTCCTCCCCTCTCTCCCTGACATTCCCACAGGGAGCGTCAGGCAGTGAGTGAGCTGAACGCCATGAGTGGACCGGACGAAATGCACACACGATCCCCTTGTCCTTGCTGCACTGCTTTACTCCGACCAGCAATCCTCCCCACCCCCTCCCCCCTTCTCTTTTCTCCCCTCCGTCCACCCAGGGGGCATCAGGCAATGAGCTGAACGCCATATGTGGACCGGGCGAAGTGCACACACGATCCCCTCGTGCACCGACAAACAAACCTTCCCCCCACTTCCCCCCCTCCTCCCCTCTCTCCCTGACATTCCCACAGGGAGCGTCAGGCAGTGAGTGAGCTGAACGCCATGAGTGGACCGGACGAAATGCACACACGGCCCCCTCGTCCTTGCTGCACCCCTCTACACCGACCAACAAACCTCCCCATCCCCTCCCCCCCTCTCTCTTCTCCCTGCCATACCGTATCCCCAGGGGGCATCAGGCAATGAGCTGAACGCGATGAGTGGACCGGACGAAATGTATCAGTGGGTTAACGACAGCATCATACAGGTGGGTGGCGATACTGGTGGGTGAGCAATACGGAACAATAGAGGTGGGTAGAAAACAGGAGAGTGACCATGCAGGTAGCATCCGATCAGGCAATGAGCTGAATGCCATGAGTGGACCGGACGAAATGTATCAGTGGGTTAACGACAGCATCATACAGGTGGGTGGCGACACTCGTCGTGAGTAGTAATGTACTTGAGCGATAGAACAGGTGAGGGATAATAGGAGTGAGTATTCCTTCAGGTGGGGCAGGCGCTTTTGAGTCGACTCAAAAGTCACCTTGAACAGGTGAGAGATAGTAGGGGTGAGTAATCCTTCAGGTGGGGCAGCCGCTGCTGTGCGTGCAAGTGTAGAAACATGATAAGCAAAGCACCAAAATCCCGCTCACATCACACGCACCATGCTGGTTCTTATTATGTTTCCCTTTACCCTCGTCTCCCTGTCTCTCTCTGTCGCTGGTCCTGTCTCCTGGTCTTTACCTCACAGGTGGTGTGGGAGGGGCCGCACTGCGGCAGCAGTGTGTGTGACAACCCCTTGGAGTACTGACGCATCACGTCTCCCTCTCACTCGATCCTGTGCTGTGCTGTGCTGCGCTGTGCTGTTCGCTGCCTGCACTGCACTACAGGTGGTGTGGGAGGGGCCTCATTGCGGCAACAGCGTGTGCGACAATCCCTTGGAATACGCGGCATTCGGGCGGTTCGGGTGCGAGGCAGACTGTGGTGTGTTTGAGAACGTGACCCACGTGGTGCTGCTTTGGCCTTGACACGTCTCACCATTTCTTCCTCTCTCCCTCTCTCCCTTTATCTACTGCCTCTGCTGCTGCTCATCACCAGGTGGTGTGGGAGGGGCCGCACTGTGGCAACAGCGTGTGCGACAATCCCTTGGAATACGCGGCATTCGGGCGGTTCGGGTGCGAGGCAGACTGTGGTGTGTTTGAGAACGTGACGCATGTGGTGGTTCACATTCACTCGTCCTTCTCCTCTCAGGCTGACAAGCAGGGCAGCTCGTGGAACCTGTGTATGGTGCAGCAGAGTAACCTGTGCTGGTGAGGGGGAGGCACGGGGATGCATGAGTAGGAAAGGACCTTTCATGCATGCATGCTAGGCAGCTCGTGGAACCTGTGTATGGTGCAGCCGAGTAACCTGTGCTGGTGAGTTGCGTGCATGGCATGGCATGGCATGGCATGGCATGGCAGCACAGCAAACGAGAGATGATGCATGAGAGAACGAAAGGCATGCATGTTAGCAAGCAGGGCAGCTCGTGGAACCTGTGTATGGTTCAGCCCAGTAACCTGTGCTGGTGAGGGCGGGTGAGGCATGCATATTGCATGCAGCCCACTCCGCATTGTCACCTTGCATGCACACACATCTATCAAGCTGCTCCCTCCCTCTCCCCACTCCTCTCCCCCACACCCCTCTGCTCCCTCAGGTTTGAGGAGCCTCAGGTGTTCACCGATCTCAGTTCAGAGGTCGCATTAGACCTCTTCATTCCGGACGGCGACTGGCAGATATCAAGCTCATCCCTCCCTCCCTCCCCCTCATTTCCCCTCTCCGTTTTCTCCTCCCTCAGGTTCGAGGAGCCTCAGGTATTCACAGAGCTCCAATCAGAGGTCGCATTAGACCTCTTCATTCCGGACGGCGACTGGCAGATTAAGCTCGATGCGCCGGGCGGCGGCGTTCGGGGGATAGTGCAAGTGGTCGGTGCCCTCAGCAGCGACTGGCATGCGCACATGTCAATGAGCTCCCTCCCTCCCCTCCTCCCGTCCTCTGCTCCCCTTTTTCTTTCCTGTCCCTGCAGGTTCGAGGAGCCTCAGGTATTCACAGAGCTCCAATCAGAGATCGCATTAGACCTATTCATTCCGGACGGCGACTGGCAGATCAAGCTCGACGCGCCGGGCGGCGGCGTTCGGGGGATAGTGCAGGTGGTCGGCGCACTCAGCAGCAACGCCACCCTGCAACGAACCAACGGCAGGGGCGGCCGAACCAACGCCCGAGGCTCGGCAACAGGCTGGGGAACGGCCTGGAGCGTGTCAGGCAATGGGGGAGAGGCAGGGGTGGTAGATACAAACTTAGCACAGCTAACAGACTTAGGAGCGAGTAAAGACGTAGTGGTAACATGGGGTGGGTGTGCAACGAGTAGATCAACGGTGGAGAATGGCCGATCGGCGGTGCTGGCTAAGAGGCTGTATGGGTGTAGGGAGACGTGTGCGGCGATGGCAGCGTGTGTGCTGGGCGCGTGTGAGAACGTGGGGGTTGAAGAGGCTTCGGGCGTGTTTGTGGACTGTGCTGTGGTGTGCAACATGGCGCCCTTTACCATCACACAGTACAGCAACTGGACTTGTGTCGAGGTGAGGGGTTTGCTTGCTTGTGCAGCGTGGTGTGCATTGCGGTGCTGCACTGTTGCTTCTCGTGTGTTTGTGGGCTGTGCGGTGGTGTGACAACAGCAGCAGAGGTTGTCTGAATCGCATGCCAGCTGGCATCCTTGTTGTTTGTAAGGGAAACCGTGATTGTCCCACGTGCCTTTATCATGTATTGCACGGCGCACGCACGACCATATGCTCTAAGTTCTCACCACCACACCCCCATCCATATGCCCACCTTTGCACCTGCCACTTTGTGCTCTCTCACCAGATGCTACGGACCACCACCACCGTCCTTAAGACCAACAACTGCTTGGGAATGCACGTTTTGACTTAACTCATTTTGTGCACTCCCATGTGCCCCTGTGCTCTCTCCCGCTGTGCTCTCTCCCCCTCGCTCACCAGATGCTACGGACCACCACCACCGTCCTTAAGACCAACAACTGCTTGGGAATGCACGTTTTGACTTAACTCATTTTGTGCACTCCCATGTGCCCCTGTGCTCTCTCCCGCTGTGCTCTCTCCCCCTCGCTCACCAGATGCTACGGACCACCACCACCGTCCTTAAGACCAACAACTGCTTGGGAATGCACGTTTTGACTTAACTCATTTTGTGCACTCCCATGTGCCCCTGTGCTCTCTCCCGCTGTGCTCTCTCCCCCTCGCTCACCAGATGCTACGGACCACCACCACCGTCCTTAAGAACATCAATTGCTCAGGTAAGAATGCATCGCATGTATTGCATGTATTGCATGTAAGTAACTCATTTCTGTACTCAGCCATTCCTGTCCTGAGGAACAGTATGGAATTCCTTCCCTCGTTTTGGTGTATGTCAGAACCTGTTGGCATCAGTAAATAGACATCAGTAACCATAAAAGCCCCTGTTTCTGTCTGTTTTCGCTGCATCCAAAGTTCATTCCCCGGTCCCTCTGCTGATGTTCCCTCTCCACGCAGTTAACGCCACGTATGTCAAGGCACTGAGAAGCAACGCCAGCAACAGCTTTTGATGCACCTCACCCGTCCTCCCTGCGTCCCCCTCCCCACTTCCCCGTTCACGCAGTTAACGCCACGTACGTCAAGGCACTGAGGAGAAACGCCAGCAACAGCGGCAGCACTAACTCCAGCAGCAGCAGCAACAGCAGTGCGCATGTGAGTGACGAGTCACACCACCCACCCACCCACCCACCCACCCACCCACCCACCCACCCACCCACCCACCCACCCACCCACCCACCCACCCACCCAACCGTGCACCCACCCGTGTCGTCCCACTAGCGGTCAGTTGCTGCAGCAGCTTTGATTTGTCAACTCAAGCTTCACACTCCTCCTCGACTCTCCTTCACCAATCCCCATCCATCCCTCCACCCATGTCCTCTCTTCAGGTGACATCCCACCAGCGGCGGTTGCTGCAGCTGGTTCGAGGGCAACCACCCCAAACACTATCACTGCAGAGGCGAGCACAAGGGCATGCACAGCAGCAGATTCGCCTGAACCCCGCTCCCCCCCCTCCCAGTCAATCACCGGCCCCCTTTTTCACTGGACCATTCATCCATGTTCCCTCCCATGCCCCCCTTCTTCAGATGACATCCCACCAGCGGCGGTTGCTGCAGCTGGCTCGAGGGCAACCACTCCAAGCACTGCCGTTGCAGAGGCAAGCACAGGAACATGTGCAGCGCCAGATGAGCTTGAGTCAGAATGTTCCTTTAGCAGTGCTGCGTGCACTGGGGAAATCACAGGGGAACGTTCAGGAGAAAACACAGGAGCGAGCTCAGGTGAAATCGCAAGGGCGAGCTGAGGGGAAGATGCGTTCTGTTGCAAGAAAGCGGGCAGCGGGACGAATGCTGGGCTTTTCGAGGGGATCGGATGGAGATGTGCCTATTCCTCGCCACCACCACCCGCTGTGGCATGTGAGGCGAGACGCTCTGGTGGAGGACACGAGAGAAGGGGCAGAGGAGGGAGAAGAAGATGTGGTGGTGTTAGAGGCGCAGGGAGTGATGGCTGCAGAAGATGGGGGGAGTGGGATGGCAGCAGAAGCAGCAGACGAGATAGGATTGGCAGTGGGTACGGGCGACGAGGATGCAGATGAAGAAGGGGAGGAAGAGGAAGCAGCAGATGGGGGCTTCAGCGTGTGGACTGACAGCAGCAGCAGCAGAGCAGTCAGCATGGGACACATGGAGAGCGCGGAGAGTGCGCGAAGCATGGGAGGCAGCATGGAGAGTATGGGAAGAATTGGCGGATTTATGAGCCATAGAGCTTTAAATGCTGGTCAGTTCCCCACCTGAATTTTGACCTGAATTTCCAACTCTGATTCCACTGCCGATTCCACCTCACCACCTTAGTTTCCATCCACTTGCAAGTTGCACTGAATCTTCTCTTCCATCATTGCCTTCTGTCATGTCCCCAGCCCAGATACGTATGCTCCCGTGCTATCAGCGGTGCCAGCATCCTTCACCCCACCCTTTCTCTTCGTCCCCACTTCTCTTCCCCTCTCTTCGTTTTCTCTCTCCCGACCCTCCCACTACACCAGCAGTGCCAGCGCCAATCCCCCTCGCACCGACAGCAGCAGCAGCAGCAGCAGCAGCAGCAGCAGCAGCAGCAGCAACAGCAACAGCATCAGCAGCTTCTGCTGCGGATACCACTACCCCTACCACCGCCACCGCTGCTAGCACTGCCGGTTTTGACTCGGTCTCTGGCAATAGTTTTACCCATCCGCAACAGCTGGAGCCACAGCCCCAACAGCAGCAGGCAGATGCACAATCAGTCTCACAGGCAGACGCACAGGCAGGCACGCAGGCTGTCTCAGTAACAGGCACACAGGGAATCACAGGCGCGTGGGCGGCTCTAGGTCCCACGGAGCGGCAGCGGTGGTTTAACCTGCGAGTGGCTGTCAGCCGCGCGCTCTTCTCCTGGGTGGGGGATGCCTGCCTTGCTAATGTTTTCTCGGCCGTCTCTCTCGATGCTGCCACTCGTGCTCGCGTTTCTGCCTTCTTCTGTGCGCTGCTGCACAGCCCTGGGGATGCTCTGGGTGCTGCTACTGTCACTGGTGCTTCTGATGGTCTTTCTGGTGCTGTTGCTGGTGTTGGTGCTGGTGGTGCTGGTGGTGGTTTTGGTGGAAGGCTGAAGATCACTGATACGGTCTTGACAAACGAAGCTGCAATGGAAGGAGCCCTGCTTGACAGCAGTTTGATCGGAGGTGGTTCATTCGACGTGGCATCAGTGGGAGGAAACGGCTGTGTGCTCGGCCCGTTCACTTCTGCCGATGGATCCATGGCTGCTGCTGCTGCCCACTTCGCATTTCTTGGTTTCCCTCCTGCTCCTCCTCCTCCTCCTGCTTCCAACAATACCAACTCCAACGGGACTGCTTCTAACGGGACTGCTACTAATAATAATTCAGATTCTGCCTTCAGTGCCTCTGCTCTGCTCTCCAGGCGTCTGCGCATGTCCCGGGATCAGTTTGCCCGGTTCGTGGGAACCTTCCTGGATGCTGTCGAATCGGTGGTGGCGGTGGATGGGGCAACGCTGTCTCGCCTCTCCTCGCACCTCTACGTTGCTGCGATTGGGCTTGTCGATGGGAGCATGGAGGGCTGCAGCCTGCGTGAGTGTTGCTCTCTTCCCACTTGTCACCTCATTCTAAAATGGTCGAGTCGGTAGTGGCGGTGGATGGGGCAACGCTGTCTCGCCTCTCCTCGCATCTTTATGTCGCTGCGATCGGCCTTGTCGACGGCAGTATGGGCGGCTGCAGCCTGCGTGAGTATCGCGCTTCTGTTTGTTGGACGCCTGTTTTGTTGCACTGCTGCTTGGTGCAATAGTGCTCTCTTCACGTCCCAGACTGTGATGCTGTGGAGTCGGTGGTCGCGGTGGATGGGGCCACCTTGTCTCACCTCTACGTCGCTGCGATCGGCCTTGTCGACGGAAGCATGGGCGGCTGCAGTCTGCGTGAGTGTTGCGCTGCTGTTTGTTGTGCTCCTGCCCTCTTTTCCACTTTGTCATCTCATTCTGAAATGGTGGTGGTGGTGGTTTTGGTATTTTTTAGAGAAGTTTTCCTAATCGCCAATCTCCCCCGCTTTTCCTTTCCTCGTGCTTTCCTCAACCCAATGCAGACGGGCGCTTGCTGGAGTGGGCAGTGGGGGCGGATTTCAACGTGACAGTAGGGAGGGGTGACAGTGTGCAGTTCGTCTGGGCCGATGACTACCCTCACTCCGTTAAGGGTGAGTCCCTCCAATACCCCCTTTATAAGCCCCCAGCCTCTCACCTGTGCATTCCTCGCCTCTTGTGCTTTGCTAATGGGTGTTTTGTTTGGATTTTTGCTATTCCAATGTTGATGGTACGCACATATGGCCATTTGCCCTTTCCCTTCCCTGCACACCCCTTCCTTTGTCCTTCCAGTGTGTGGAATGGGCAGCAGGGCGCACGACAATCTCTTCAAGGGCCGTCCACACTGCTGGCGCCAGCCAGCCATGTGGCCGTCTCATTCAAAAAACCATCTCTCCCTCCCACCTTCGTACCCCCTCACGCCCTCCCTCGTCTCTCCATCAGTGCGTGGGCTGGGCAGCAGTGCAGGAGACAGTCTCTTCAAGGGCTATGGCGCCAACCGCATGGTCCTATCGAGGCACAGCCGCTGCGCTCCGGACAACGTGGGCACCATGCCGCTAGACGGCCCGCCACACCCATGTGCTCTCTGTGAGTTTCTTGTAGCGTTGGCATGTGCTTTCCATGTGTCGGGGCCAACCGCATGGTCCTATCGAGGCACAGCCGCTGCGCTCCGGACAACGTGGGCACCATGCCTCTTGACGGCCCGCCACACCCTTGCAACTGATGCATGCCGAGAAGCCCTCTACCGCCCTCTCTCACTCTTTCCTCCCACCCTTCTCTCTCTCTCTCTCTCTCAAACGGTCCTTTGTATTAATTCAGCAGGGGTACAAACATGCGGTGCTATCCATGATAACCTCTATCCCTTAAGCCCCAAAACTTACCACTCTTCACCCCCCCCCCTGAGTGACCCTCTAGCCCTCCAGCGTGTGGAGGATGTCCCCCAGGTGCAGCGGCCAGGGGTCCGCTGCCATCTGGGGGTGCGCTGCCTCGATCCCAGCCCTGGCCTTGGTGTGCAGGGCATTAGCCTGGGAGCGCTGGAGGGCCACTGACCAGCGCTGGCTGAAGTGGCAGGCCATCTTCTTGGCCGATTTCGCCAGGGGGTTGGCCCTGAACCGGTTGGCTCTCTCTCTCTCTCTCTCTCTCTCTCTCTCTCTCTCTCTCTCTCTCTCTCTCTCTCTCTCTCTCTCTCTCTCTCTCTCTCTCTCTCTCTCTCCCTTCTGTAACAGATGGCCTCTCGGATACTCCTGCATTCACCTACACAGCTGTCTTCACCCAAACCGGTTCCTATAAAGTGGAGTGCGGGCGGTTCGGGGCCGATATGACTGCGACGATACATGTTGTGGAAGATTCCGAGGATGACTCTAGTGAGTATGCTGCTGAGGAAGTATGTTATGTATGGTGTGCAATAATGAAACGCCACTTGCTTATATGGATGCTACAATACATGTTGTGGAAGATTTCGAGGATGACAATAGTGATTATGCTGCTGGGGATGTGAGTGACCTGTAGAAAGAACGTACTTTATGATGTATCATATAAAGTACCAATTGCTGATACAGCCTACGTTATGATGTGTTATGATGTGTTATGATGTGTTATGATGTGTTATGATGTGTTATGATGTGTTATGATGTGTTATGATGTGTTATGGTGTGACGTGCTGGTAGCGAATACCATCCTACTTCTGCCCGTCCCCTGCCCAGTTATCTCCTGGAACCCCACTTTCTCTCCTCACCCCATGGTCCTAACAACTCCTCTGTCCTTCCTCTCCCTGCCTCTGTTCCCCAGCTTTTCTCCTGGACCCGTTCTTTGATGCCAGCACCACCGCCAACAGCACAGCCCCACCAATCTCCCCACTCGCCTCCTCCTGCTACCCCGGCTGCTCATTCGGCAACCTAGCCGACGGCCGCTGCGACCCGCTCTGCAACAACCACCACTGCGCCTTCGACGGGGGAGACTGCGAGTGCGCTACTCTCGCCGGCAGCGGCGGGGGAGTGGGGGGGGAGTGTCCGTGCCCTGCAGGGCAGACCAGGTCGGAGGCAGGCTCGTGTTGTCCCACCGATGCTGTGGGTACGAACCTGCTGTTCCCGTTCCAGCTGCGCTCGTTCGGGCCGGACGCGCATGCGAGCAACACACAGTTCTCAGAGCTGTATGAGAAGCCGCTGCACCGGCACGTGACCGAGAGGAACAGGTGGGTTGAGTTGAGACGGTAAGGGAGACAAACAGGCAGGCTCTTTCTCTAGTAACCTCAACTTGTGTCGCAAGCACAGTATTCGGAGCTGTATGAGAAGCCGTTGCACCGACACGTGACTGAGAGGAACAGGTGGGTGCTTGGGACAGGGGAGGGGAACAGGTGGGTTGAATTTTTATGTATGGAGGACGGGGGGTTGGAGAAAGTCTGGCAGGAGGGATGGGGGTTGAGTGAGTAGTGGGCAGGGCACTGGGCCTCCTGCAAGTTCCCCAATTCCACCCGTCCCGCACCGACTCCCACCCACGCTCACCTTCTCTCACCCCCTCTCACCCCCTCTCACCCCCGCTCATGCCCTTTGACCCCCTATTCTTCTCTTCTCCCTCGTGGAGGCTACTGGTGGGCCTCTACTCTACGTGCTGCGGAGCGGAGCAGACCTGCTGGGGCTCTCGCATGGTTTCCACCTCCATCCACTCCCTCCCACCCATTCTCACCTCCTCTCACCCCTTCTCACCCCCTCTCAAACCCCAAAAATCTTCCCCATTCAGGCTGCTAGTGGGCCTTTACGTGCTGCAGACGCGATGGGGCTCCCGGGAGTGCCCTTCCAAAAAGTAAGTTCCTCACAGCGACCAGGAAATTGGGTGCTTCACAGCTGTCAGGGTGAGAGAGATAAAGATAGAGGGTTAGATTTCTGTCCAGCTCTCTATAAGCAAAGCTCTGTAACCACTCAGCTCGCAGTGTACCGCTTTGTTCTCCTCCTTAACCCCTCTAGACCCTCCAGGTTTGCAAGCATCTGGCCGCACTGTCTGACCAACGCCACCAGCCTCGCATCCTTCAACATCACAAAAACTTCTCTCTGTACCTGTACCATACTACACTACATTTTTCCTCTCCCCTCCCCTCTCCCTTCCCCTCCCAGGTTTGCAAGCATCTGGCCGCACTGTCTGACCAACGCCACCAGCCTGACCTCCTTCGGCATCACATAAACTTCTGCTCTCTGTACCTGTACTATACCACATACTACACCACTTTTTTCCTCTCCCCCTCACGTCCAGGTTCGCGAGCATCTGGCCGCACAGTCTGACAAACGCCACGAGCCTGACCTCCTTCGGCATCAACCCGCGCTTCCTCTCCACCTCCAACCTCTACGACCCCATCCCATGTGGCCTCCCGTACCACACATTGTACCGCACTGCACCGTTCTGTGCCCATATGCTGACTACAATCCTCTCCCCTCTCCCCTCCCCTCTCCTGCTATCCCCTTACCCCTCCCAGTTTTGCAAGCATCTGGCCCCACAGTCTGACGAACACCACGAGCCTGACCTCCTTCGGCATCAACCCGCGCTTCCTCTCCACCTCCGACCTCTACGACCCCATCCCATGTGGCCTCCCGTACCACACATTGTACCGCACTGCACCGCTCTGTGCCCATATGCTGACTATACTCCTCTCCCTTCTCCTCTCCCCTCTCCCCTCCCCTCTCCCTTCCGCTCCCAGGTTCGCGAGCATCTGTCCGCACTGCCTGACCAACGCCACGAGCCTGACCTCCTTCGGCATCAACCCGCGCTTCCTCTCCACCTCCGACCTCTACGACCCCATTGTGGCCTCCTGTGCCGCACATTGTACCGCACTGCACCGCTCTGTGCCCATGGGTTGACTCTGTTCCTTTCCCCCATCCCCTCTCCCATCGCTCCCAGGTTCGCGAGCATCTGGCCGAACTGTCTAGCGAACGCCACCAGCCTGACCTCCTTCGGCATCAACCCGCGCTTCCTCTCCACCTCCGACCTCTACGACCCCATTGTGGCCGCAGCCAACCAGACTGGCCTCGAGAATTCCACCCCAAGCTCCGCCCCTCTCTTCAATGACGAAGGGCTGCCCTATGGCTTCGTGCCCCCCACGGTGAGTTATGGGTGGGCCGTCTCAAGGCTGAGTTGCATTCTCTAGGGGCCATTAGAATGCAACTGGATGCAACTCAGCCTTGCGAGGCAGTCTTGTTGGAAGTGGACACTGGAATGGCTGGAAGTGGTCTCCCCAAGGGCTACAGGTGTCGTCCTGGGGGGGTATAGGTGCGCTGACCCACCAAGGAAATATGTCATTTTATCCCAGTTCGTTAGCAGACTGGAATGTTATCCCTGCACGGTGTGGTGACCGTGGAGGAACAGGGTCCGATTCCTACTTTCGGCGACTTCCTGTGCCCTAGTGGTGGGCCGGGCCCTCCCAGTGAGAGGATTGTTGGAAGTGGACACTGAAATGGCCCGAAGTGGTCTCCCCAAGGGCTACAGGTGTCGTCATGGGGGGTTATAAGTGCGCTGAGTCACCAAGAAAACATGCCATTTTATCCCATTTGGTTAGCGAAATGGAATGCTATCCCTGCAAGTCCAACATTTACAACCTCTTCGCTCCTTGGTCCCTTCCTGCTCCCTCCCTTGCTCACTCATTCTCGTCCACCTCTCCCTCCGTCCTTCCCTCCCTCCCTTTCTCCACCCCCCAGGACACCCTCTCCTCCCATCCGCTTATATTCGGCGTCAATCTGCACCGAGTGGTGCTGCTGCTCATGCTCCTACGTCCTTTCGTCCCCTTCATCCCCCCACCCAGAATGGTCTGGAGTCCTATCCGCTGATATTCGACATCAATCTGCACCGAGTGGCCGCCACCAAGCGACTGCAATACCTCGTGGACGGATTTTACTTCGACAACCTCACCAAGTCCATTGAGTTCGCGCTCATCACTTATAACGCGGATGTCAACATGTTTGTGCTCTCCAAGGTGCGTCACACCTGCTTTGGTCTGTTCCTTTTGTGCAGATTCTTCTGTTTGCCCTACTAGAACCTCCCTATCTCTTCCTCAAAATTCACCTTCCCCTTCCCTGCTCCCTCGCCCCATCCCTCCCCCAATCCCCTCAGATCCGTATAGACGTGGATGTGGGGGGCAAGATGGGTTACTCGTACCGTCTGGTGCCGATCCCAGTGGAGCCGTATTCGTCGGCCTCCTCTTACGCGCAGTTGGCCCTCGAGATCATCTACGTGGTGTGTGTCGCCTACAACCTGCTGGAGGAGGTGAACGAGATGTTCCAGACATACCGCCACACGGGCAGCTTTCTCTATCATTTCCGCCAGTTTGGCAACTGGATCGACCTGCTCTCGCTCTCCATCCAAGTCTGGGGCATCGTTGTTTGGTGAGTCTTTCCCTGCTGTGCGGTCCTGTGCGTTTTTTTCGTTAGGATCAATAACAGAGTCTAGGAAGATTAAGGGGTCGAAATAACTCTAAATCGTCAACCAAGCTCTGGACAGAAAATGTCGACATCACAAGAAACCCCGTCGACGAAAAACGCATCGTTAAAACTTCATCAATATAAAACGTGTTGTAGTATAAAAAGTGGCTATCACTCCCTGTTTGAATCGTATCAAAAGCTGAAGTATATCTTGAGTTATGGTTTTCGGAGCACTTGGGGGTATGCTTTAGCTGAAACTGAACTCGTTTTCAATAGTTCAACCAAGAACCAGAAAGAACATTAACGTGGAAAGGAACTTGGTGGGAGATCAAGGGGAGGACGAGAGGGAACGTCCCAAGTGGGTCCTCAACCAAGCAAACCCCATAGGCTCACACAATTTTGACTTTCGTAATTTTCACAACCTCTCAAATCCGTCTCACCCAAATTGGTCACATTTGTCAACCTGGTTTGACTTCTCCCAATCACTTGGCAGCAACTATAGTAAAGTGACGAACCCCATAAATTCTCAAAGGCCCCGCAACGAAAAATCTAAAGTTACGAACTTCAACCGTTCGTAACTTTCTCAATTCTTGGTTCGCCAGAAAGCTATTACAGACTCACAAAGTACGAAAGTTCACACGCTCACACCACGCATGCAACGTACGAACATAGGATGGGAGGCAGGCATACGTGAATGCATATTCTGACATCACGCAACATTTTTGCGGTGATGTGCGGTGCTCTGCGACCTACAACCTGCTCGAGGAGGTCAACGAGATGTTCCAGACATACCGCCACACGGGCAGCTTTCTCTATCATTTCCGCCAGTTTGGCAACTGGATCGACCTGCTCTCGCTCTCCATCCAAGTCTGGGGCATCATCGTCTGGTGTGTGTCTGCTGTGCCGTGACTTGCAATGCGGTTCTGTGTGGTTCTGTGCGGTGTTGTGTGGCGTACAACCTGCTGGAGAAGGTGAACGTGTATACATCCCTCGACGACATGGCACCGCAGTTCTGGGCAGTCATCACGGCATACTGATACCTTCCCTCCCGTTTTCCCCCCTCTTCCTCTCAGGATCATCATGGTGCAGCAGCTCTCGCCCCTCTCCGACATCAGTGTGCGTTACAACGTGTACACGTCCCTCGACGACACGACCTCGCAGTTCTGGGCGGTGAATGCAGCATCCTGATACCCTTCAAAACTCCCCCTTGCCCCCACCAACACCCCCTCTTTCAGGATCATCATGGTGCAGCAGCTCTCGCCTCTCTCCGACATCAGCGTGCGTTACAACGTGTATACCTCCCTCGACGACACCACAGCGCAGTTCTGGGCGGTCAACACGACGAATGGCGGCTTTGAGAGGGCGATGCAGGTGTATCGCACCATGGATGACATCATTCAGCTGCGCTCCTTCTACTTTGCTATTCAAGGAATCAAGTGAGTCGGGAGGAGGGCAGTGCGGTTCTGTGCGGTGCATGCGGTGTGGGTGGGGGGGCTTTGAGAGGGCGATGCAGGTGTATCGCACCATGGATGATATCATTCAGCTGCGCTCCTTCTACTTTGCTATTCAAGGAATCAAGTGAGTCGGGAAGAGGGCAGTGCGGTTCTGTGCGGTGCATGCGGTGTGGGGGGGCTTTGAGAGGGCGATGCAGGTGTATCGCACCATGGATGACATCATTCAGCTGCGCTCCTTCTACTTTGCTATCCAAGGAATCAAGTAAGTCGGCACATTCAAGGCAGTTGAGGGAGGTGCAGCGCAGTTCTGTGCGGTGAGCGTGGAACCGTGCCGGGGGGTGTGTGTATCGCACCATGCATGATATCATTCAGCTGCGCTCCTTCTACTTCGCCATCCAAGGAACCAAGTAAGTCCATAAAGTCGCCACACCCAATAGCAGACACAGGGCAGGTGAGGGTGGTGCAGTGCGGTTCTGTGCGGTGAGTGCGATGCGGCGTTCGGGGATTGTGAGAGGGCGATGCAGGTGTATCGTACTATGGATGACATTATTCAGATTTTAAGAGTGCTGGGATTATTCAGCTGCGCTATCTAGCACCTCCTCGCCCACTCCCTCTCCCCCATCCTCTCCTTTCCCCCCTCCTCCCCTTTCCCCCCTCCTCCCCTCCCCCCCTCCCTCCCCTGCAGTGTGTTCCTCATGGTGCAGCGCCTTCTGAAGCTGATGGACTTCCAGCCGCGCATCGGCATCATCACACGCACCATGGCAGCGGCTCTCCCCGCCATCCTGCACTTCTTCCTCGTCTTCGGCATCATCTTCCTTGGATTCTCCTTCTATGACCTCGTCTTCGGCCGAACGCCATTTTTTTCTCACCCCTCTCCCCCTTCCCCTTTCCTCCCACACTCTCTCTTTCCCCCTCTCCCCTCCCCACTTTCCAGCGTCTTCCTGATGGTGCAGCGCCTTCTCAAGCTGATGGACTTCCAACCTCGCATCGGCATCATCACACGCACCATGGCAGCAGCACTCCCCGCAATTCTCCATTTCTTCCTCGTCTTCGGAATCATCTTCCTCGGATTCTCGTTCTACGCATACCTCGTCTTTGGTCGAACGCTCGCGCAGTTCCGCACCATCCCCAACGCCATGCTCTCCTGCTTCTTCATGCTCATTCAAGACAACTCCACCGCGTATTACTATGCGATGCTGGAGGGTTGGGAGCGGTTGGCTGCGTTTGTGTTCTGGCTGTCGTTTATCGTCATCATGTGTTTTATTCTGATGAACGTCGTGATTGCGATTGTGGTCGATGCGTTTATGGATGTGAAAGAGGCGGCTCAGGAGGAAACAGCATTGCCGATTGACATCTGGATTCTGCTGCGGAACCTCTGGCAACGGATATGCACGCCGTATTGGAGCCTGAGGAAGCTGAGGCATCATCTTCTGTTCCTGGGCACGTATGAGAAGACAAGAGAGGAGGTGAGTGTGTGTGAGGAGGATGTGATAGGGGAGTGGGAGAGCGGGAGGAAGAGCGAATTTGCACGCCGTATTGGAGTTTGAGGAAGCTCAGACACCACTTGCTGTTTCTGGGCACGTATGAGAAGACAAGAGAGGAGGTGAACGTGTGTGTGAGGAGGGAGGGATGGGGAAGCTCAGGCATCACCGTATTTGCACCACACCACTTGCACCACTCGTATCACCGTATGTGCCTGAGGAAGCTGAGGCACCACGTGTTGTTCCTCGGCACGTATGAGAAGACCCGAGAGGAGGTGATTGAAGGGCAGGTGTGTGTGAGGGGGATGGGGGAGTGGGAGAGCGGGAGGGAGAGCGGATTTTCGCGCCGTATTGGAGCCTGAGGAAGCTGAGGCATCACCTGCTTTTCCTGGGAACGTATGAGAAGACCCGAGAGGAGGTGAGTGGGGGGCTGTGGTGTGTGTGTGGTGGGGGAGGGTGGGAGGTCGAGGTGGGTGAGAGGGGGTAGAGGGGGAGTTGTGTCTTTGCGGGGGATGATGCGCTCGGGGTGCTTCATGTTGCAGCAAGAGCGCGAGGCACTGAGAAGGGCACTCCCCATGCAACTGCAATGCAATCCCCACCATGGTCCCATGTCCCCGCCCTCCCTCTCTCCCCTCCGCTTACCCTCGCTGCAGGAGGAGGCTCTGGCGAAGCAGCGCAAGTCGGCGCTATCGGAGGTGGCAACGATGCTGCGCAAGGGGTGCTTCCAGTCTCAGGAGGAGCGCGAGAGAATGAGGCGCATCCACCAGACAAAGAGGGTGGTGGACGTAGGCATAGACAAGATGGACATGATGTCGCTCTATGCCCTCATGAACCGCATGTATGAGCGCAAGGTGAGCTTGGTTTGAACGCGGTTCAGTGCGTTGGAGTGCGGTGGAGTGCGGTTGAGTGCGGTGGAGTGCGGTTGAGTGTGGTAGACCAGTATGAGGCGAATTCACCAGACGAAGGGGGTGGTGGATGTGGGCATTGACAAGATGGACATGATGTCGTCTATGCCCTCATGAACCGCATGTATGAGCGCAAGGTGAGCTCGGTTCGAATGCGGTTCAGTGCGGTGTAATGCGGTTGAGTGCGGTTGAGTGCGGTGGAGCACGGTTGAGTGTGGTAGACTAGTATGAGACGCATCCATCAGACGAACAGGCTGGTGGATGTGGGGATAGACAAGATGGACATGATGTCGCTTTACGCGCTTATGAATCGCACCTATGAACGTAAGGTGGGTTAAGTGTGGTTGAGAGTGCGACTGGCTGGGGTTGAGTGCGGTTGAATGCGGTTCGAGGAGAACGTGGAGGAGACATTGCGCCCATTTCTCACTCCCATTTCCCGCCCCCTTCCCCCCAGATGGCGTCTATGAGTCCCACCAAGGCCAGCAAGTCGTCTCAAGTTGACCCAGTCACTCACTATTCCCCCCAACACCTCCACCCTCCCCCCTGTCCCCCTTACCCTTCCCCATCTCTCTCTACTCCTCTCCCCCACCCCTCCCCACCAGATGGCGTCTATGAGTCCCACCAAGGCAAGCAAGTCGTCTCAAGTCGACCCGGTAACCATAGCCGAGTCAGTCATGGGGCAATTTGGGGAGAACGTGGAAGTGGCATTGCTCACAGGCGCCAACTCATTCCCGCTACCCGTTCTCCCGCCTTTCCCTTCTCGCTCCCATCTCCATCTCTCCCCCCAGATGGCGTCTATGAGTCCCACCAAGGCCAGCAAGTCGTCTCAAGTGGACCCGGTAACCATAGCCGAATCAGTGATGGGGCAATTCGGGGAGAACGTGGAGGTAGCACTCTTAGGAGAGAAGCCCAAGAAGGGCAAGAGCGGCGAAATGTCTCACATCAAACGGTCTCTGCAGCGGCTAGAAGAGAACGCGGATGAGACTGCGTACGTGCTGCTGCAGGTGCAAGAGTCGTTGGAGAAAATGAGAAGGGAGCAGGAGGAGATGCAGCAGCAGCAGCAGCTGATGCTGCTGCGGGGGTCTGCGAAGGAGAGGCCGCCGGATCTGGGGTTGGCGAGGGGTGGAAGGCAGTGGAGTAGGGTTAGGAGGCGTTTTGAGGATGATGATGATGGTGATGATGATGATGATGCTGATGTTTCTGCTGCGGCTGCGTCGCGCGGTTGGGTAGGCGGCGGCGTGAGCAGCAGCAACCGTGGTTTTGCTGCTGGTGCTGGTACCGGTGGTTCTGGTGGTGATGGTGATGGCACTGGTGATGGTGGTGCTGCTGCAGGTGGTTCTTCCAACAGCAAGGGCCTGACTCACTCCTCCAGTGCAGGCGAGGCAACCCTGTCCACTCTGTCCCGCCAGTTCCCCCGATCCGTCTCAGGCATGAAAGGGAGCCTCTCCTTTGAACAACTCGCTCCCACCTCCCCCACGCGCACCCCCACGCTCCACACCAACAGCCTGCCTTGCCCCATCGTACCTGGGTTTATGAGCCGGAGGAGGACAGACAGTTTTGAGACGTCTCAAGTCCCCATCGTACCTGGGTTCATGAGTAGGAGAAGGACTGACAGCGCATTGCTTCCGGGCAGCAGGCAGAATTCCAACACGCCGGGGCTATCTGGTGGGTTGAATTTTGATGCTGGTATGGGCGGGGGAGGAGGGGGAGGGGGAGGGGAGGGGATTGGTGGGCTGAGCCCGATTGCGAGTGTCGCCAGTGGGTATACGGGGATCATGGGGAATGGGGGGGGGATGATGAGTCCTGTAGGGTCCCATAGTATGGGGGTGGGGTGGACAGGACACGGGGGGGGCAGAGGCGTGGGGATGGGGGAGTTTGGTAACCCGGGCAGTTTTGGCAACCCAGGCAGGCAGAGGCGTGCCAGAACGGCCCATATGAAGTCCTTTGGGGGAGATGAGCCGAGTATTCTTGATGCTGTGACCAAGCTTGGTGGGGGTGTGGGGCGGATGGGCGGCGAGGAGGTCGGGAACACGAGCGGGCGGCACCGGCCGGCTGGTTTTGGCAGTATGCCGAGAGGGGCGGCGGAGGATATGGGCATGAGAAGGAAAATGGTGGATTTTCCTTCTATGGGAGCGGGGATGGGTGCGGGATGGGGAATGGGTGGTGAGGATGTGGGGAATATCAGCGGGCGGCGAAGAGCTTTAGAGTATGGGTCAATGAGACGAGGAATGCCAGGCGGCGGCATGGGCGGCGCGGGAATGGCGTCTCCTTACCGAGGCGGCGGGTTCTTAGGCTCGGGAACGGCTGGGTTTGCCCAGCCTCGGTCGATCACGGCGGATGGTGGGTTCGGGAATCGGAAGTTCGGGGAAGGCGTGGGGATAAGTGGTAGGAGAATGGTGGGAGGGGAGAAGCAAGGGAATAGGGCTTCGGCTTTATTGGCGGAGCTTCAGGCCGCCCGGGCGGCGGGAGGGGCGGGGAGTTGGACGAGGATTCATGAAGGGGAGGTGAAGAGGGTGCAAGTGAAAGGACTGTTGCAAAGAGAGGGCGGTGGCGACTTGTGAAAAATGCGATAATATATCGTTATTTCTGTGCTCGGCTCTGTTTTTACCACTAGGGATGAGTGTTGCAGAAGAGGTTGGGAGCTGAGAATCATGCGCCTTATTTAAACGATTATCTATCCAATTAATGTTTTATTCATTATTTGTTCGTATGGAAGACCATATGGATGACACCATTTGTTGGAAGGTCTTCAACTGTCGCGTCCTTCAATTTCCTCCATCCTGATGCCCTAGATGGCACGGATTCGTTACTTTTTGTTTTATGTAAAATGTGCCCGACTTCTCGATCTCCCTAGTTGCGCCGACTCAGTCAATAGAGCGTATAAATTCTGCTGAGCCTCTTTTGGGATCTCCCGTTTCTAGTTTCCATCCTCCTAGCAGACTAGTCCAGCGAGGTCTTCGACTCGCGTTGAGAAATTGATATTCTCAACCGTGGCTTTTCCGCGGATCCGCTTATTCCCGTATCGGATATCGATCCGTAGCGCCTCTTTACTCCGGGAAATCAAAATTCGACCGTAGCTCTTCTGTCAAGCCGGGGTCGTAGACTTCGTTTTTCCTCGTCTCATTAGTTGCTTCGCCGCCATGTCGAGACGCTATGACAGTCGCACGACGACGTTTTCGCCGGAAGGCCGGCTGTTCCAGGTACGATCACAGTGTGCGATCGCTAAGTCGACTCGTTCCGGGTCGCAATGGTCGTGAGAGTAAGTGATCTCTGCGTGCAGTGAGGTGTGTTTTGAGGCGCCTCAAAACACACCTCACTGGTCGCAATGGTCGTGAGAGTAAGTGGTCTCTTTCAGACGAGTTTTAGTCGATTGTTTTAAACTGAGTCAACTCAAAGGTTGTTGCAGGTGCGATGAGAGCGAGATTCAGATAAAGGGAAACTTCGATTGGGATGCAGTTTCGAGAACCCGTAATTAATTTGTGCGCGAGTGTCATTCACGTGTTCCTTAGCATCCCAAGACATTTCGCCGTTTTCCCCATAAATCAGGTCGATGATCCCTCCCTTCCCTCTCTCCTCTCCCTCCCCTCACTCCACCCCCGTTTCCCGTACTCTCACATTCTAATGCTCCGTCCCTACCCGAATCCTTCTTCTGGACTATCCAATTGAGGCCATGACCCACGCGGCGTCAGACGGTCTTTTGAGACGTCTCAACACTCAACTTCTGAGACGTTTCAATTCTCATGCTCCGTCCCTACCCGAATCCGTCTTCTGGAGTATCCAATCGAGGCCATGAGCCAGTCAATAAAGCGAATTCCGGAGTCAGACGGTCACCCACTTCTTGTTCCCAGGTTCCTCTCCCCAACCCCCTCTTCTTCCCGAGCTCCCCCTTTCCCCCCCTTCCCCCACCTCCCCCTTTTTCCCCACCCGCTCCTCCCCGCTCCACCCTTCCTCCCACAAGGTAAAGTATGCAATGGAGGCTTCTTTTGGTCGACTAAATAAATCCTTTCCCCGCCGCTCCTCCCACCCCGTCCCACCCCGTCCCACTCCTTCCCACCCCTTCCCACCGCTTCCCACCCACCAGGTGGAGTACGCAATGGAGGCCATCAGTCACGCGGGGTCCGCCATAGGCATTCTCGCGACGGACGGCGTGGTGCTGGCAGCGGAGAAGCGCATCACGTCGAAGCTGCTGGAGAGCAGCAAGACGAACGAGAAGATGTACCGCATCGACGACCACGTGGCCGCTGCTGTCGCTGGGATCACTGCTGACGCGAATATCCTTGTCAACTCGGCCCGGCTTGCTGCTCAGCGCTACACGTACGCGTATCAGGTGCGTTTATGTTGCGTATGAGTTTAAAAACCACTACAAAGAGACACAAACAACCGAGTTCTCATTCGTCCGCTCCACACTTTCCCCTTCGCCCTCTTCTCCCCTCATACTCACGTATGCAGGAGCCCATCCCCATGGAGCAGCTGGTGCAGTCTCTGTGCGACACCAGGTGCTTCCACGTCTGATGGTCCTCTTCTTCTGTTCGCTTCCCCCCATTGCTTGCTCGTTCGCCCTCTTTCTACTCCCCTCCTCCCGCATACAGGAGCCCATCTGGTGCAGTCTCTGTGCGACACCAAGCAGGAGTACGTGTGAGTCCTCATTTTCTGTTTCTCCTTTTCCCTCTCTGCTTCCTCGTTCGCCCCCTATCCTCCTGGCTTATACAGGAGCCCATCCCCATGGAGCAGCTGGTGCAGTCGCTGTGCGACACCAAGCAGGGCTACATCTGAATAGTCCCTTCTTTTGTTCCCCTTCCCCCATTGCTTGCTCGTTCGCCCTCTTTCTACTCTCCTCCTCCCGCATGCAGGAGCCCATCCCCATGGAGCAGCTGGTGCAGTCGCTGTGCGACACCAAGCAGGGCTACACGCAGTTTGGTGGTCTCCGTCCCTTCGGCGTCTCCTTCCTCTTCGCAGGTGTGCCTCTTTGTCCGTTTCTTGGAGATTCTCGGTGCAGTGTGGCAGTTGCGTTGCGATAAGGTTCAGTGGATGGTGTGAAGTTATTTTTTGTCTATGAGGTGGTGCCTTGTCCTGCATCGCTTTATAATTGGGCTTTGAAAGATTGCAAGGCGGTAGAAATAAGCATCAATGGCAGGAACCTCAGATGGTGGAACAAAGCTGTGAATACTCCCTGACTTTGTAGTATACTCTTAAGTCTGTTCCTTTTTTTCTCTCCTCCCCATCTTTCCAGGGTGGGACAAGCACCATCAGTTCCAGCTGTACCATTCAGACCCCTCAGGGAACTACGGCGGGTGGCGGGCAGAAGCATCCTCCTTGACTTTGAATTTTACCCTCTGGGAACCCTCTCCTCCCTCGTTCGTTCCCTTTGTTTCCAGGGTGGGACAAGCATCATCAGTTCCAGCTGTACCACTCAGACCCCTCAGGGAACTACGGCGGGTGGCGGGCGTGTGCCATAGGAGCCAATCACGGCGCAGCACAGTCGCTGCTGAAGCAAGAGTACAAGGAAGAGAAGGGACCGGGAGGGGAGGCGATTCCGGGGATGGACCTGGAGGGGGCAGTGCAGCTGGCGCTGAAGGTGCTGAGTAAGACCATGGACAGCACGAGCCTGAGTGCAGAGAAGATTGAACTGGCTAAAGTGTGCCTCGAGGATGGCCAAGTCAGGTGAGAGAGATGGCTTGAGGTGTGGGGGCATGAAAGGGGGATGCGGGTGGTTACCGGTAGGTGGGAGGGGGATCTGGGGCAGGGGTTGTTTTTTAGGTTTGTTAGGAGAGGCGATTCCGGGGATGGACCTGGAGGGGGCAGTGCAGCTGGCGCTGAAGGTGCTGAGTAAGACCATGGACAGCACGAGCCTGAGTGCAGAGAAGATTGAACTGGCTAAAGTGTGCCTCGAGGATGGCCAAGTCAGGTGAGAGAGATGGCTTGAGGTGTGGGGGCATGAAAGGGGGATGCGGGTGGTTACCGGTAGGTGGGAGGGGGATCTGGGGCAGGGGTAGTTTTTTAGGTTTGTTAGGAGAGGCGATTCCGGGGATGGACCTGGAGGGGGCAGTGCAGCTGGCGCTGAAGGTGCTGAGTAAGACCATGGACAGCACGAGCCTGAGTGCAGAGAAGATTGAGCTGGCTAAAGTGTGCCTGGAGGATGGCCAAGTCAGGTGAGATTGCCTGATGAATTTGGATGAGGGGGAATTGAGGGTGGTCAGGTGGGAGGGGCATCAGGAGAAGATTGAGCTGGCTAAAGTGTGCCTCGAGGATGGCCAAGTCAGGTGAGGTTGCCTGAGTGTGGGGGTATGAGGGAGGTGATTAGATGGGGGGGAGAGGAGGGCTGAACCATGATAGGGAGGGGGTATTGTTTCCATCATCTTGTCTTTGTCCTGACGGTGGCGTATTTGAGTTGTGTGTGTGAGTGTGTGCAGGTACCGTGTGTTTGGGGCCAAGGAGATTGATGAGTTGCTGCTGAAGTATGAAATGGCTCAACCCAAGGAGGAGGAGAGATGAGCATAGGGGAATTGGGCAAGAGGAGTTTTTGTTGGGTAGCTTGGTGTGTTTCATGCACCCGTGGCAAAGCTGCGATCCTTAGCCACATTATGTTGATATGACAGTACTGAAATCTTTCTGAAATTTCAAACGCTACCAAAATTTATGCCACTCCTGTACCGTATCTGCATGTCAACTAACATTAGCAATTTCATAGCAAACTTCACTCATAGGCCTTGACTTGTGTCATTATGGCCAATACAGGTGATCTGCATTATCTCTACTGTGTCTGCTCGCCAAGAATATACAGAGAGCTGCACAGAGCAGTCCCAGAGTATGGGTATTGTTACAAATGGTTTGGCATCCTTATGGCTGTCGTAGCACTTGACATGGTCCTCTGCTCATACTTTGTCTTCTGACATTCTTGGGCTCGAGTGGGCCTTCACCTGCTCAGCCCTCTCTGCTTGTTGAGCATTCTTCGCCTTGTACTTGGCATAGGTGTACCACACTCCACCCACTGTGTTGACTGAAGAACCGGCTACAATAAGTGGAGTGGCCTTTACACCCCCAAGCACAAAGAATCCAATAGTCTGCAAAAGAAACAGACACCAGGTCAGATACAAACCGGTGCCGAGAAGGACACTGAATAAACACACACGTTTGCGTCTCCTTCCACAGCTCATCATGAGGGGTACATACCGTGCCCAGGACGCTTCGCAGAGTTCCGACGATTGTGGTGGTGAGTGCAGAGTTGGAAATTGTACAGAAGAAGAGAGAGTAGTTGAGCAGGACCCCAACCCCCAAAGACACCACAAAGAGAATAGCAAACCCTAGGCTATCTGAGCCATACGAAAGCTCAAACAGTCTTGGGATGGATCTTTGTGCTTCGCCCGTGATTAGGATTAAGGCAGCAAGCACAGGAAATGACATGACGCCATTGTAAACCAACAGGTCGTTGGTCGTAAAACCTGGGGAAGCAAAGCCAAGGTTGAAATGAAGTTCTTCATGTTAGGAATGATTCGGAAAGGCCGATTCAAGACATGTCAATTTCACATGTAGGATTAACTCAATCTGACAATGCATACCTTTTTGTGAGCCTGATCGTTCAACAAGGATTAGATACGCTGTTTGAAGCATGCAGCTCACAATGGCCCATAGGTATCCTCGAGCATCAAAACTTAGGTCACCCGCTCCAGCAAGGAAGCAACCTGGCGAGACGACAATGTCACGTTAGTCAAAAGAGTTTGAAAATATGAGTTAATGTGCCCTGGGAGTCGGGGGACTACAAGAAAGCAACAAAACATACCTGAAACAACGGCGAGCACTGACATGCAGACCTCCAAAGGTGGGGAGCCATCTCCGATCAAGTATTTCGCGCAGAGGACCATGACAGGGGTCAGTCGCTTGAGCACGTGGTACACTGGGATGCTCAAAGCTTCAACAGCTGCCAATGCGAAGGCGACGTTCGCGTTGTAAAAGAACACGACCCCGGAAAGCGATCTCGCCGATCCCCAATCGAATGGTTTGACTTCAATCAGGCCAACGCAGCCCAGGGAGTACACGATCACCACAGATGCGGCCATTTGGAGCATGAGGAGAGAGTTCGAGTACGGCCATTGCATCAAAACAGCCTGCAATGTCAACCGATCAACGCATTCAGTTCGAATCCTGGCATGGATGGTTGTTTCTGAAGCGTGATACTGTGATCAGACGCCTACTACTGGTAAAGAGCCTGAAAGCCTCGTACCTTGTTTATGAAACCCATGGCGAGTCCCACGAAACAATACAGGAGAGCGGAGAATATGGAGTTGAACATGGGGACGGGGGTACGCCTGGATGCCGAAGTTTTTGCATCTGTTGATGATTCAAGCTCGGCTATCGAGGACGGGCGAGGTATAGAATCTCGTTCTTTCACCGGTATTAGAGCCTCCAAACTGATGTCTTCGGGTTTTGGAAATAAATATCGTAACAAAAGAATATCAGCTCCTTTGTATAGTCCTGCAGGTGAAAATGGTTCCGAGAAATTAGTTCTCCTTCTCTAGACCCACGTATCGTCAGGAAATTTGTTCTAGCAGCAAGAACTTGATAATTCACCTTGAAACACGTCACTTGATGTCTTCAGAGAGCCTTTTCTTTCTGGAGCCATAATATCTCAGACACCTTGTGCCTGTGGCTTCCAGCAACCGCCTCCCTTTAAAGGTATAGTGACTATCAACGACAACAGAGAACTATCTTCGTTGCGACTACTTCAAGAACGCGCATTAGTGCCAGGCATCAAGAATCCCCCCTACGACAGGCAGCGCTGCGACTAAAGCGCATTAGTGTCACTGTCAGGCACCAAGAAATCCCTGTAAGGCAGGAAGCTATAAAACTACGAAGCGATGCGCGTCTCACAACAAACAACAGCTAAACGTTAAAGCAACAACTACCACTTCTGATCCTAAATCCTAGGCAGAGACGCGTGTGTGGAAAGAAATGTTTGGGTAATTCAGGAATCAGGAGCTCCATCCACAGATGTACTTGAAGCCAAGACTTCCTGTTGAGCACAACTGACCAAGTCATCAAAGCAAAGCTGGCACTTCTCCCTCACTGCAGCAGATGTAGTCAACCGAAGTTCGACGCCAACAACAGCGATGCGAGCAATTTGTGAGTTACACTTCATTTCGTTGATGTCGCATTCGGGGATCTGGGAGGTGACTGACCTGGGGGAGGTTGAACAGGGAGTTTCATCAGGTGGCTACGATCTGGTTGTTGGGGAGGAAGGTGGGGAGGAACCAGCTTTGGTCTGTGTGTGCACAGCACAGCCGCATGTGTCTCAGGGCCATCAGGTTCCTCTGAGAGCCACCTTCTCCACCCAACCCACTGCCGGCTTTGTGCTGTAACAGAACAGAGGTCAGTCAATCCGATGTGTAACGGGATCAGCGTAGGTCAAGCATATTTGTGTTTCGCAGCCTGTAAAAAGATGTCGTCTCACACACGAATATTTCGCGCGAATGTCGCTTGTTCCAAGCGGAACCAACGCAAAGACGAGTGTTTTGGAACTGGGATTGACTGCCAAGCCGAGTCGCAGGTGTGACCCCGATTGCTGGGTATGAATGGGAAGCCCCGAAAGAGACCCTCATCGGCTTGCGCCAGCGGCCTACAGTACAGAACTTGCTCTCCCAGCGGTTGGACCATCTTGGACCGAGCAACATTCAGGCTTCAGGGGCGAATTGGGCCGGTAATGATTACACTTCACCTATGCTGAGGGGGTTCAAGTGTTAGTACAGTAAGTGGATCTTCTGCGAATAGCGATATTGCACAATAGTGCCCCGCTGCGTATTCGTTACTCAAACAAGCAGCAGGCTTGCTCTACTCACTCCGTGAAGTCGCTTTGCAGTCAATCAATCGCGTCCCGTGCAGAATTCTGTGGCGCACAGATTCATAAGGTACTTCTGGCTGGGTCCCTGACTCAAGAGAGCACCTGAGAGGTCAGGATCGCTTGAGCAATAATTTCTGAGCCGTGATGACCAAAATCTGTATTTACCTTTTCCCACTCATGCGATTAAGTGCCTAGATTAGCAGTTCAGCGTGTCGTATCTGGAAATGAAGTCGACTAATTTGCGTGGTAACATTCATACAAATAAGCGTCTCCACGTGAAAGGTGCCTACAGAGATGCTGTATAAGAGAAAAATAGAACGCAGGATTGAGAAGGGAATCGCTCTGCTAGAATCAATGGCACAGAGGGTCAAGAAGGCCAAAATTGGTTCATCTTTCCTAGTGTTGGTTGGGTGTCCCAAAAACGCCTGTGATTATTCCCGAATTTTAAGACCTCGTCCAACATTTTCTACACTCCCATTGGTTCGCGGGCCAATAGCGTTTTCACTCCCAACCAACCTTCCTAGGCTTGAAATTCTTGGCTCGCGGGTTCCCTGGATACTTTTACCTGACGCACCAATACTTACATCTCAATTGGAAAAGCCACCTTTCAAGCCAGGACAATAAGTGATGCGGGACTAATGCAACGCGGAATAGACGAATTTATATCGCAAATAATAACCTTCCAAAATTCATATACAAAATGTTCAGAAGTAATCACTGAGCCATCAATTTAGTCCAGAATCAACTCATCAAAGTCGGATGCAAGTTGCATCAAGAGCTTGGGGAAGCAGAAGCACGGGGCGGGGAATAAACATGGTCGACAGTGTCTGATGTTTACGCGTTCGTGGCAGGAAAGAGTTGTGAAATTATCCATGTCCTTCACTATTGCAGAGAGACTTTACTTGTCCACTTGGTTAAGCTTTCCCAAACCCTTGCATCGCGGGCATACAATCCTGTTGTCGTCCTTCCGCGCAGCATTCGCATTCAGAACACGTGAGTTCCGGATGAAACCAGCTCCATCGCATTCTGGACAGATATCCTTTCGCGAGAACAGGATGGGGAAGGCGGTACCGATAAGCGTGATGGCCACGGCTCCAGCAATCAGGTAAGTCGTTGCGTCTCCTGATACGTCGCCAACGGCACACACCACGCGAGACCTTGACCGAGCGCCTTCAGTCGCCTTCACGAATGACGCCATCCGAGTCTTCTTGGAGACTATCCGGAGAGGTCCCAATCCAGCACATGCTGGAAGAGGCCTCACCTGAACATTTGCTGAAGACCTCACAAGAGAAGCTGAAGGATGAGCGAGGGTAGCCATGCAGGTGGCAGCCATTGCTGAGGGATTAGCAAGCGAAGAATCAATTCACTAAGAAGAAAGCAGCGCAAGCTTGGCTGAACCCGACGGCGGACGACTAGAAATGCGATAATCAGGAAGACGGACCAGAAATTACTTATACTCGGCTCGGCAGGCTGGGATAATCAAGAAATGGGATTCTCAAGAAATTCGTATGGTTGCGTTGGCGGTGTTCGCCAGCACTTTTGAAAACGAAAACGACGGGATCAGGAAGGTCAGTCACGCCTAAATGCCGAAGCTAGGATGTCGTCCGACCCTAAAGCACTATGCGGTGCCTGGCGAACACCCTCATTTTTCTCAAATTTCGGAAGGAAACATGGCATTCGGAAATGGGGATGTGACTTCCTCCCCAGGCAAACGTCCCGTCTCATGCGATCCCGTGGCAATCCACCATTTCACGTGGACCGCCGTGGGTTGGCGATGAAATTGGCTGTCGGAGGGTAACCACTACCACAGCCACCGGAGTCACGAATAGGCCCTCGTTTACACCCAATTTCGTAAACCTAAACTGGATGGATCCTCCAGATTTGTGACTGGGTTTGTATACGAGGAGAGATGGGGTTTGTTCTGGAGATGGGGTTTTTCTTTTTCACGTTTTTACCCTGGTACAGTAGAGTTTGGCGCCCGGTCAGGCACAGGTCAGTGGCGCCAGATTTTCGTCCCATTTGGGGGGAAGGTGGGGTGTGGGGTTCCACATGCGGTTGTGAAGTTTCTCATGTCGGGGCTGGAAAGTTCGCGGGTGGCATGTCGCCCAAACCTTTTCGGAGGGTTCCGGCCCCGCTTCCTGATGCCGTTGCCAGTCCAATGCCTTCCATTTTCTTCCAATCTCAAAGGTGCTGGCGAACACCGCCGTTGTCTGCTGAATGGAGGAAGGTGGAGCTGATACTTCCGAGCTGACGTTGAATGGAGCAGTGTCAGCGTTGGGTTCGACAAGGGCCTGCTTCGGCCCACGTCGATGTGGATCAAGCTGTCTGACATGGACGTGTATCAGCCAATGATAACATGGCGGTGATTTTGGGACTCTCGTGGCCTACGTCGATGTCACTGGGTGCTGATGATGCCACATTGTGCCAAGTCATAAAATTGCAATTCCACGCTGGCTTACGTGCCAGCTGGGTCGAAACCCTGTGTTCGCGTGGCTGGCCCATCTTCATTTGTCTCGTCACGTGTCCTTCGTTGTCAATATATTCTTGATAGAAAGACGCGCTATGGGCTTGAAATAGATCATCCCTGGCACTACTATATTCTTCAACACACATTGAGGTACCGTATTCAGGGAACAGACGCATCTAACCCAATTCCACATTAAATTCCCTCCAAAATCCACATTCAATCCAATGCAATACCATGATTGCAAAGGAGTGTCCGAAACCTGTTCGAATCAATCCCAAAGAAAGTATTCAGCCCCAGCAGCTCCTTACCTCTGGAAACCATAACACCTTCACCCTTCATCTCACACTTAACCTTACCATCCGACTCAACAATCGACAACCCAGCTTTTCTAAGCACCGCCTCTCTCGGCCTCAACCTGCCTTCAAGGCTAAGAGTCACCAGGTACGGCACCGAACCTATAGCTCCGGCAGACAGACCAAGATTTTTCTGCAAAAAGTCCAGTTTAGGCTGTATCCCGCTCTCCCAGTTAGAACACAGCAGCAGCGGATACCGCTGAACCATATCCGCTGCATCATATTCGCCCGCTAAGAACGAATCCCACCGACGGAAATTCTCACGCACTGACTCCTCCGAGGCATGCAACACCTTGGGATATTTCAAAACAACTTCTCGGGCTGGCTCTACCCCGAGAAGGTCGATCAGGGCTTTAAACTTCCCTCGCAGAGTTTCACCAGAAGAGTTATCCACTTTCCGGAGTAACTTGGCTATATCCATTCGGGGTAGCTCACGTCCAAAAAACTCCTCAAACAGCCCTTCCCTGGACGTAAGCTCTTGCGTCGAGATTGCCAGGAGGTTGGTGTTACGCGTTACGATGCTATGAGCATGATGATTTCCCACCAACTCCTTCAAATAATCCACTTTCTCCGTGAGAGTTGCCGGACGAGCATGCATCACTCGCGAATCCCTTCTCATGGTTCTGACAACATCCGTAATGCCAATATCCCTGAGCATCCCAATCTTCCTCTCCTGAAATTTCTCCGCATCGGTCGCAAACATCGCGGGATTTCGCCGCAGCAGCTTCCCTAGCAGCTCCCCATCAGTAACCCCCAAATCCCGCAGGAATCGCACCACCTCTTCTATGCCCTCTGCAGACAAGACGCCGAGCCACCAGGGCTCGATGAGGGTCGCATGAGCGAGATCGCAGGTCTTCACTCCGTAACCGCGTAACACTGCGATGCCCGGCAGGATTCGCTCTTTTACGCTTACTTTCGCGAGTCCGGGACGCAGCACGAGCACCCGAACCATCTGTTGCTCGTCCATGCCCCAAGACTCCAAGAGCGAGCGCAGATCAGCGGGAATCGCAGAAACGCCGCTTGCTTTTCCGCTTCTTTTCTTCAGCCTTGATTTGAGTGCCTGGCTTTTCTTCGCTGGTTCCGCCCCCGCTGCTTCTACCCCTGCTGATTCTACTCCTGCTGCTTCTACCCCTGCTGCTTCTACCCGTGCTGCTGTTGAGTCTGTTCTTAGTGCTTCTGGTTGTGTCGCTGCCCCTTCTACCCCTGCTGCATCTACCTCTTCTACTTTCACCGCTGCTGGTTGTCCCGGCGTTGCTTCTGCTACCGGCATCTGTAGTACTTCAGATTCTGCTTCAACTGCAGCAGCCGCAGCAGCAGCAGCAGCAGCAGCAGCAGCAGCAGCAGCAGCTGCTGCTGCTACTGCTGCTGGTGTTGCTAATGCTGCTGCTCCTGTTGATGCTGCTGCTCCTACTGCTGCTCCTGCTGCTGCTGCTGATTCAACCCTTGCTGCTTCACCCTCACCGCTGGACCCTGAAACCCGTCTCCGTTTCGATCCCTTCACCCGCAGTTGCTCTTCCTCTGCTACAGCAACCCCCACCCCTTCAGCTGCTTCTCCATCACTCCTGCTACCAATCCCCTCGCTGCCACTACCCAAAGCTCTCTTCCGTCCTGCCTTCTTTTCCTGCTTCGACCCACTCACTCTCCACTGCTCCCCTGCTGCTGCAACCCCCACCCCTTCAGCTGCTACTCCATCACTCCTGCTACCAATCCCCTCGCTGCCACTACCCAAAGCTCTCTTCCGTTCTGCCTTCTTCTCCCGTTTCGACCCGCTCACGCGCGGCTGCTCCCCTGCTGCTGCAACCCCCACACCTTCCGTTGCCGCTGCACCATTCCCGATGCTGCTGGTTTCCTTGTTACCGCTATCCCCTCTCTTCCGTTTTGCCTTCTGCCGCTTTGACCCTTTCTCTTGCTTTGAATTTTTCCCCTTCACCTGAGACCCTTCCCCTGCTGCTGCCACCTCTGTAACACCTGCTAGCGATGCATCATGTTCCTGAGAAAGTTCCTCTGCAAGCTCAGCACCTGTGTCTTCCTCCTTCACCCCATCACTCGCAGCTCCTTCCTGCTTCGACTTCTTCTTTTTCTTCTTCTTCCCCACACGTGATTGCTCTGCTTCTGCTGCTGCATTATCACCTGCAACAGCCTCACTCGCAGCCCCATCATCAGTCCGTTTCCGTTTTGAATTCTTCTTGTCTTTCTTCTCTTCCTTCGCCCCATGTGCTTGCAACGCTTCTGCTGAAACACCAGCGCCTGTCACTGCCTCACTAACAGCCCCGTTATCCACAGCTCCTTTTAGCTTCGACTTCTTCTTTTTCTTCCTCTCCACATGTAGTTCCTCCGCTTCTGCTGCAGTATTATCACCTGCAGCTGTCTCATCGTCAGCCCCGTCACACATAACTCGACTCCGCTTCGACTTCTTCTTTTTCTTTTTCTTATGTGATTCCTCCGCTTCTGCTGCAGTATTATCACCTGCAGCTGCCGCATAGGCTGCCTCATTCGCCCCCTCACGCACAGCCAGTTTCTGCTTCTTCGTTCTCTTTTTCTTTTTCTCAGGTGGTCGCTCCACTCCTGCTGCAACCGTAACACCTGCAGTTGCCTCACTGGCAGACCCATCACACACAGCGCCTTTCCGCTTCTTTCTCTTCTTCCCGTGTGGAGGAGACTCCGCCTCTGCTGCAGCCTCCACCCCTGCCGCCGCCTCATCTCCACCGCTGTTAAAGCCCACGTCGCCACTCAGGGATCTCTTTCGCCCTGCCTCCGCCCGCTTTAAACCATTCTCCCGCCTGGACACCTTTTTCCGCTTTGTCTCCTCCTCTGCTGCAGCAGCCTCTGCGTTTTCCGCCGACTCATCCGCATTACCGTCCAACACAGCTCCCTTATGCTTTGACTCCATATCCCGCTTTGATTTCTTCTCTCGCTTCGACTCTTTCCCCTCATCACCCTTCTCCTCTTTCTCTTGTCGTGACTGTTTCCCCGCTTCTGCAGCCGCAACGCACGCCACTGCCTCGTCTAATCCACATCCATCAATCAACGCGGCGGCTCCTTTCAGCTTTGGCTCCTTCTTCTTCTTTGATCCTTTCTTCTCCCGCTTAAATGCCATCTCCCCCTCATCTCGTGCCTGGTTCACTGAATCTGCGGCCGCGACGCCCGTCATGTGCTTAGTTTGTCTCTCGTTCAGCACAGCTATCTCCCGTTTCGGGACCTTCTTAAAGCTAAACCCTCCTCCCGCTTTAATGAGCTGTTAGTTCCCGCTGCCGTTGCTCCTGGCACACCAGTATCCCGACACTTACGCTGCTTCGTGGTTAATCAACAGAACTTTGCGCGACTCGATAGTCAATATTGGGGTCCTTGGAATAATCAGTACACCTTGCTACTCCGCAAACGGGATCCGGTAAAAAAATCGGCAGATCGCGACGGGTGGATGACCGACGGAACTAGAAAGAATCGCGGACAGGGAGAATCTCTTAGACGGTTATTGCGTCGTCTTGAATGCCACGTGTAAGGAGCCTGCTCTCCAGACGCCTCTTATACCCGCGTTTCGGATTTCCGAGCGCATTAATTCAAAAGTCTACTAAGAATGGGTGGACGAGATGACGGTTCTAGAGAGACATGGGTAATGAAAAAAAAAGGCAAGAGGGTTTTGAGACGTCTCGAGCTTGAGAATTAGCAGGTGTGCGAGGAAATAGGAGGTACGAATCCTCGCGAACTGGGTTGCTCGCGATTCTAGGATAGTATTATAGGAGAAGGCTGCCGAGGGGAAGGAGTTCAGAGCATTGTGATGGGCATGGGCACTTCAACTTTACTGCAGGAAGGATGGTTGACGCCTGTTGCGTTACACGACACCTCGCAGGTGATTGTAGAGGCATCACTTCTATTTTTCATACAACAATGGAGATTCTGCAATTTCAAATTACAGTTATGTTACAAGAGGCGGCTTGACCCAAATGCTTCCTGGAAACGGAGCAAGGTCTTGCAGACCATCTAGGAAGACTGACGGCTCCTGTGAGTGCATCTTTTCGGAATACGATCTGCGTTGTTGTGCGCCACTCAAGTACCTGTAACACATCATCATACACAAAATCAGTAAAACAAATTACGCAAAATATAATGATGACAATAAATGCTTATACATAACAGTACAAAAGCAACTTACAGCCGATCTTGAGCGCGGGTCATCGCCACGTAGCACAGTCGCCGCTCCTCCTCGTTAAAGTAGAACTCCTTTTCCTCTTTCCTTCCATTCGCCAAGTCCCCTGACTGCACTGTACCGCCTCCTCGTTTCCACTGCTGCTGCTGCTGCTGCTGCTGATAATGCTGATTACAGCCATTATGTTGCTGACTCTGATGATGATGGTTGTGATGCTTACTCCCTCTTCCTAAAGTAACCCTCTCCCACCCTGGCCTCTCCTCCTCAGACCCCTTCCACTGAGCCTTCTCGTTATTGTTTTTCGGAGCCAGTGGCAGGATTCGATTCTCCAAGCCTGTCAGGAACACCACTGGGAACTCCAGTCCCTTGGCCTTGTGGATGGTCATTAACCGTACGGCATTGGCTGACAGCTGCCCCTCCTTGCCCTGCCAAAGGGAGAGAGCAGGCGCAACGGAGAGGATTGCGAGAGGAGAGAGTACGAGGTGTGTTGAGAGAGACAAGCCTGTCAGGAACACCTCAGGGAACTCCAACCCCTTGGCCTTGTGGATGGTCATTAACCGTACCGCATTGGCTGACAGCTGTGCCTCCTTGCCCTGTGCAGTGGAAAGCAGCACATGGGAAGAAACAGGGGATTGTGGTTTGAGGGTGTGAGAGGGTTGCAGCCCCTTGGCCTTGTGAATGGTCATCAGCCGCACCGCATTGGCTGATAACTGTGCTATGAAGACGGGGGAACAGGGAAATGCGAGCAATTTTGGAACAAAGCCTCCTTTCCACGCATGCAAAACAGGATGTATATGAAGAAACTATTGAGATTTTTTAGAAGAGCAATACAGGATGAAGGCTTTTTTGCTGTGCATGGCAAAAAAAGAGAATGCTAATGAGGACTCACCCCATACTCGTTATTGACTCACTTCAACTCGTGAATCTCCCCTGAGAGGATCGCAATCTGTAAATGAAGAAGTGTTTCGAGACGTCTCAAAACACTTCTTCATTCACGTGACTCACCTCAGACTCGTGGATCTCCCCTGAGAGCAGCGCAATCTGCTCCAGAAAGTTCCGCACTCCCTCCATACCAACCCCACAGGTTGGGCCGAACCTGTTTGCTAGGTCCTGCAGTGTCAGCAATCGGTTCGGGAAGGTCAAAAGGAGGAGTTAAAGATTTGGATTAGAACACGATTCATAAACAGAATTACACTTGTGGCTATTCTCTTCAAGAATCCGTTGTCCTCCTCCTCTCTCCACCTCCTTGGGCAGTTTTTTTCCTTCCCTTACTGCCATAACTCCTCTCAGCTCCTCTCAACCGTGCTGTTGCTACGTACACCGCCCCTCACCCCTTCACCACACCCCCCCGCCACCACACCCACCACCACGAAAAAACAACCACCCACCCTCCCATCAAACCCACCTGAAGTCGTTCCATCTCGTCAAGAGCTCGCTTCCCCTCCTCCTCATGCCTCTACCTCAACGCAGCAGGGTTGGGGGACCGGCTCCTCCCGTTGCTGCCATAACTCCTCTCAGCTCCTCACAACCACGCCATACACCCACCCACCTGAAGTCGTTCCATTTGATCAAGAGCGCGCTTCCCCTCCTCCTCATGCCACTGCCTCAACGCAGCAGGGTTGGGAGACCGGCTCTTTGCTGCTGCCGCCGCTGCTGCTGCCGGGCTGTACTCCTGCTTCAACTCGAGCCTGGACGGGAGGTATGGGGAAGAGGTATGGGGAAGAGGTGCGGTAAAGAGGTGCGGGGAAGAGGTGGCGTGAAAAGGTATGGGGAAGAGGTATGGGGAAGAGGTAAGAGAAAGAGGCGCGGGGAAGAGGTGCAGGGAAGTGGGATGGATAAGAGGGATATTGAGCGGACAAGTCACAAGGGTACAGGAGGGAATATGGATTCAACCCCTTTGCACCGCTTTCAAAGGCATGTAAACCGACAGCTCCGCCTCACCATCCCTCACCACCTCCTCCTGACTCACACGTCCACTCTAGTCCCCAGCAGAGTAGCCCTCGGGCATGATCCTTCCCGTCCCACGTTTGCTGCCACTCCAATTCCAGTCACTGAGACTGGTTCTGAGTCGACTGAAAACACCACTCACACACCCATCCCCACCTCCTCCGTACTCACACGTCCACTATCGTCCCCAGCAGCCCTCCGGCAGAAGGCAGCTCCCGCGTCCCACCCTTGCTCCCACTTAGTCTAGAATCAGTGAGACTCGAACCAACACCACTCACACCCATCCCCACCTCCTCCTCCGTACTCACACGTCCACTATCGTCCCCAGCAGCCCTCCGGCAGAAGGCAGCTCCCGCGTCCCACCCTTGCTCCCACTTAGTCTAGAATCAGTGAGACTCGAACCAACACCACTCACACCCATCCCCACCTCCTCCTCCGTACTCACACGTCCACTATCGTCCCCAGCAGCCCTCCGGCAGAAGGCAGCTCCCGCGTCCCACCCTTGCTCCCACTTAGTCTAGAATCAGTGAGACTCGAACCAACACCACTCACACCCATCCCCACCTCCTCCTCCGTACTCACACGTCCACTATCGTCCCCAGCAGCCCTCCGGCAGAAGGCAGCTCCCGCGTCCCACCCTTGCTCCCACTTAGTCTAGAATCAGTGAGACTCGAACCAACACCACTCACACCCATCCCCACCTCCTCCTCCGTACTCACACGTCCACTATCGTCCCCAGCAGCCCTCCGGCAGAAGGCAGCTCCCGCGTCCCACCCTTGCTCCCACTTAGTCTAGAATCAGTGAGACTCGAACCAACACCACTCACACCCATCCCCACCTCCTCCTCCGTACTCACACGTCCACTATCGTCCCCAGCAGCCCTCCGGCAGAAGGCAGCTCCCGCGTCCCACCCTTGCTCCCACTTAGTCTAGAATCAGTGAGACTCGAACCAACACCACTCACACCCATCCCCACCTCCTCCTCCGTACTCACACGTCCACTATCGTCCCCAGCAGCCCTCCGGCAGAAGGCAGCTCCCGCGTCCCACCCTTGCTCCCACTTAGTCTAGAATCAGTGAGACTCGAACCAACACCACTCACACCCATCCCCACCTCCTCCTCCGTACTCACACGTCCACTATCGTCCCCAGCAGCCCTCCGGCAGAAGGCAGCTCCCGCGTCCCACCCTTGCTCCCACTTAGTCTAGAATCAGTGAGACTCGAACCAACACCACTCACACCCATCCCCACCTCCTCCTCCGTACTCACACGTCCACTATCGTCCCCAGCAGCCCTCCGGCAGAAGGCAGCTCCCGCGTCCCACCCTTGCTCCCACTTAGTCTAGAATCAGTGAGACTCGAACCAACACCACTCACACCCATCCCCACCTCCTCCTCCGTACTCACACGTCCACTATCGTCCCCAGCAGCCCTCCGGCAGAAGGCAGCTCCCGCGTCCCACCCTTGCTCCCACTTAGTCTAGAATCAGTGAGACTCGAACCAACACCACTCACACCCATCCCCACCTCCTCCTCCGTACTCACACGTCCACTATCGTCCCCAGCAGCCCTCCGGCAGAAGGCAGCTCCCGCGTCCCACCCTTGCTCCCACTTAGTCTAGAATCAGTGAGACTCGAACCAACACCACTCACACCCATCCCCACCTCCTCCTCCGTACTCACACGTCCACTATCGTCCCCAGCAGCCCTCCGGCAGAAGGCAGCTCCCGCGTCCCACCCTTGCTCCCACTTAGTCTAGAATCAGTGAGACTCGAACCAACACCACTCACACCCATCCCCACCTCCTCCTCCGTACTCACACGTCCACTATCGTCCCCAGCAGCCCTCCGGCAGAAGGCAGCTCCCGCGTCCCACCCTTGCTCCCACTTAGTCTAGAATCAGTGAGACTCGAACCAACACCACTCACACCCATCCCCACCTCCTCCTCCGTACTCACACGTCCACTATCGTCCCCAGCAGCCCTCCGGCAGAAGGCAGCTCCCGCGTCCCACCCTTGCTCCCACTTAGTCTAGAATCAGTGAGACTCGAACCAACACCACTCACA